GAGGGACAAGATTCTACACTTTCAAAGAGAAACCCAAGCAGTCTTGGCAGATAGGTGGGTGGGGACCATGGGTGGCGCCTCTGGGCCTCACCTGCTGCCCGGCGCCGTTGCCTGCGGTGAGGTGGAGCTCCCGGCTCAGGTGCCACAGGTGTTCCACCAGCCGCCCCTCCTCCTGCTCCTGGCGGCGCCAGTACTGCTCCCGGGCCCTCAGCTCCCGCTCCAGGACGTCCAGCTGCAATGTCCAGCCAGTTTAGGGCCCACCAGCTTTTATCGCTCACAGCCCGCGTGGGCTGGCTATAGCTCCCCAAAGTCCTCAAGACATGGCCCTCTCCACCCCTGGGCATCCGTGACGGAGTTTGGTGAGGCAGTTGACTTGGTTGTAGAAGGAAAAATAATAACCACACACTTTCTTCAGGCTCCTCAGTCCTTCCCTCCCTCCTCCTAACACCTGGGATCCCCGGAGTCCCCTGTGCCCCAGGCCCCGCCCTCGGGAAGGCCAGCAGAGAAAGGCACATGGTCACAGGAGGTTATTCCCACCCCTCTTACATCATCCCCTTACGCTGATCTGTGAAACAGTGGTGTCAGGGCCAGAATTTAAATTTCTTGGCTTCTAACAAGAATCTTATCACACATCCATCTTTGTTTCTGAAGCTGAACTAGACTGAGGATGTAAGGGGGGCGGGGGGGCCTAAATCATTTTCCTCTTGATGGAGATCTGCCAAGGGCTGAACGACTGCAGTAACCTCCCGGCGGGGCTTCCTGCGCTAGTCTGGCCCTGCTCCCAGCCAGCCTCTGCATGGCTGCCAGGGGGGCTTTCTAGAATGCTGACTATGTACACACATATATAAACATAAAGATGTCTGGCACAGGTGTGCCAACCTGCTAAGTGGCTGTGTTTGGAGGGAGAGACTGGAGGGGAGGAGAGTGGTGTCTGGACTGGGGGTGGGGTGTACACCGGGGGCGCTGATGGTGGGTGGAGGGAGAGGAATGGGGAGGGGAGCCTTTGCTTCTTCATGTACACACTTCAAACCTGTAGTAGACTTATGAGTCATTTATTTTTGTATTGTTTGATATTTTTCAGATTTAAAGTCTTAAATTCATATTTGATCCTATCACGTCTACTTAGAACACTTCAGTGGCTCCCCACGGCCTTCATGATAAAAGTCACATTTCTCACACTTGCAGCCTTTGCACTTGCTGTCCCCCGAGGCTGGAGTGGCTTTCTCTGCTGCCTCCTTGAAGTTTCAGCCCAAATGTTGCCTTGCTTGGGAAGCCCCCCTTGAACTCTCCTCTGTGTGGCTGACGCGCCCCTCCTCTGAGCTCCCCTAACGCCCGTGAAAATCATGATCACGGTGGGAACCTAGAGCCAGCCAGTTCCCTGGGGACAGGAACCCTGTCTAGTTGTTTTTGTATCTCAACACCTAACACGTTGCCTGGAATGTAGAAGGCTCTCAATACGCAGTTGCTGAATGAATGAATGAATAGCATAAACTCCTCCTACCTACCAGACCAGGGTCTCTCACTCCCCGAGGTAGGGCCTCCAGCACCTGGACCATGGGCACCACCATCCTGGCAGAGGGATCCATTTGAGCACCGATGACTGGACCAGGTTCCCCAGTCAAGGGGTCTATGGCTTGAGCCCCGATCGAGATTGGGACGAGCCCTGTGAGAAGTCAGGCCCACCACTGGCTTTAGTAACCAGAGATGGAGAAAGAAGGCAGAAGTGGTCGTGGGAAGAAGGAGACATAGAAGGAAGGGATACAGAGGCAACCCCAGGCCTCCTTTCACCCTCCGAGGGCTCTGAGCTGGTTTAGGGGCTTTCCGATGGCCATGAGCTTTGGAGGTGGGGTGGGTCGTAAGTTTCTGAAGCGCTGATCTTCGAAAGGATCCAATTTTCTAAGGGAGGGATAAATGGTTCATGGCCCTGGGGTCTTGGAATCTCTGAGCACCTTTATTTTAGGCGGCAGCAGCCCTGGCAGAAGCGTCAGAATGACCCCGTCCCTTGGCTTGTGAGTACCCCTCTGAGCCTTACAGGGACTTCTCCCCCCAGGCTGAGTCACCTCCTGATACCCCTGGAGCTTTCGGAGGTCCCAGATTCCTGCCTACCTTTGCCATCAGCGTCTTCCATCGAGCCTGCCAGGGGTGTGGCATTACCGGAACTCCCGTCGTGCTCCATGCCCAGGATGGGCACCATGAGCCCTGAGCCCTCGGGGTCTGGGATCTCCATCCCATACAGGGCTGGGACCCAACGCTCTGTCCCGGGATAGCGTACCGTTCCTAACACAAGGGGGTGGGTGTGGAGAGGAGGAGTTGGGGGTTGGTTAAGCACCTCCCTGAAGTCTGTCCAGGCTCAAAGTGTGACATCCCTGATCCGAGACGCTTCTCTGTAAAGATTGCATTTGCTTCCTTTGGGCCCAACTTAGCATTTTGAATTTAGAAGGGAAGAAAGGACGATACCTCGATTGTCTGCTTTGGAAGAAGCAAGTAGGAATTGAGTGGCGCCAGACCTTTTGAGAAGCTGAGAAGCTTCCAGGAGAAGGGGATTCATTTTCTCAGGCACCTCCATGTGTTAGAATCTGAGCTAAGGACTCCATACAAATTATATTTCACTTGGTCCTACAACTAAAACTATAAAGTATTTACTATTTTTATCTTCCTTTGAAAGATGGTAAAACAGTAGCAGAGGGAGATTATTAGTAACTTGCCCAAGATAAAAAAGTTAATAAATCGTGGGGCAGGTCTTCAGACTCAAGTCAGTTCTGACCCCAAACCCTGGTTCTTTTTTGTCACATCATGGGCAGAAGGAAGCTTCTAGAAAGACTGAATTCCTGCCCTTCCTTGTATCAGGGCTGTGGAGAGGTGAGTGTTGGGGTGAGCTTCTTCCCTGTGCTTATTGACGGGAAGTTAAAGGCTGTTGCAGAACGAGAGCGAGACGGGATCAGGACTCAGGAGACTCAGGCTTCAGGCCCCACTTTGCAGCTCGCTGGCTAGAGGACCCCAGGTGGGCGAGTCATGTAACTTCCTGAATCTCAGGTTCCCCACTCTAAAATGAACATCGTAACACCAAACCTGTTACAGTGTCTGGTGAGCCTGACATAACGAGAGAATGTGCACTCTACAAACAAAGCATGAGACCCAATGACATGGGCAAGGGATTAAGACAGGGATGCAGCCAGGCACTCATGGGGTCAGGGCATGAAGTCGTGGAGTTCCTTCTCTTCCCTAGGGCATGCGTGTGCATGGCCAGTGAGGCTGCAGTCCTGTCCCTGAGCTTACAGGCTGAGGGGCCCCAAAGCACTGGGTCATCCTGGGCCTGGGATTTTGGGGCCCAAGAGTCTTTGGCCCAGATTAACTGGTACCTATCCTGCCGCCACTGGCTTCAATGCCACCCGCTGCCTCCAGCTGTCTCTCCAGTCTCCGGGCCTGCTGCAGGACGTGGTGCAGACTCAAGGCCAGGGCCTGTCTCATGTCCTTGATAGCGACCTCCAGAGGCCCATGTACCCCCGATCCCGGACTCTCTTGGTATTGCTGGAGCACTGCAATCACTCGTCTCTGGGCCACCAGCACGTTGGCATCCAGCAGGGCCTGTGACCCTCCCATATGGGGCAACGTCCGGCCCTCCTGTCGGGAAGCCCCCTGGAGCCGGACTGTCTTGCCACTCAGTGGCTCCACGAAGCTGTCACCAGGCAGCATGAGGTTCCCCGAGGCATCTCGCAGCCCTCCCAGTGCAAGCACCTGACCTAGAAGCAAGAAACCAAGAGGGCAAGATGGGAAAGGGACCCAATAGGGACGCAGGCAGGTGAGGCTATGGGAGAACCGGGGCGTGAGGGCAGGAGTGAGCTGTAGGAAGAGAAGGGGTGTGGGAGAGGGCAGAGCATAGAGCACGGTGGTGCCAGGAGGAGGAATGGCCCTCCTTCATTGAAAAGCAGCCATTTACTTCGACTGCAGAACAGCCTTGTTTCTCTCTCCCCTCCCCAGGGGCACCGGGTGGAGATGGGGATGGGGAGAGGGAAGCTGAGAGGAGAGGGAGGTTGGGGGTGAGAGGCAGGGTGAGGATGAAGGGTGGAAAGATGGGGGCCGGGTGGAGTTTGTAGCCTGGCCCAGAGTGCAGAGGGTGCAGGGGCTGAGAGGGGGGCAGTGGGAAGCCAGGCCAGGCAGGGAGGGGTGGAAGGACAGCACTGAGGGCTGCCAGGAGACCTGTGTTTTCATCCAGCCCGACGCCCAGGATTGGTGAGATGCCTCCTGTGGCTGGATCCTCCAGGGGGCCCCCCATCTCTAGAGGGGCCAAGGTCTTGGTGAGGGGATTGCAGTAAGTCCCTCCAAGAGTGAGCCACTGCCTTGTTTGGGGGTGCAGGGTCACAGCCAGCACAGGCACCTCGATGCCAGTGTCAGGGTCTGTCATGAGAGCCCCCAGCTGAGATGTCCTTCTTGGCTGCAGGACGGCCAGGCGTGTGGCTGGGGGGCAACCTGTGGCTGGACAGGTCGGGTAGGGCACATAGGGCAGGACGGCAGCTTCTGATGTTCGGACGCCACCTGTACAGGGAGACAGGGCGCCGTTGGCACCCCTTAACATGCCAGCTTCCCTCCCTAGCCCTGCAGAGCAGGAGCAGAGGGGCCTCGGGCACCTGCTTTCTTTCATGGAACAGCTCTGTCCAATCGCGGCCCCTCTGCATCCAGCAAGAGTGTTACGGTGAGGAGGGTGAGAGGTGTTTAGTGCTCTGCTGGTCACCAAACCCCGCTGTCCAAGGACAGCCCTGCTTCCCATGCTATGCTCCCTGGGGGTTCATTCCAGAGGGCCCCAGTGAGCCCCACCCCATCTCTGAAGTCCAAGCTAGTTTGGGGCCAGCCCGTGGGCCAGGATCTCACCGGCATTGGAGTCAGTAGTGGGCACTAGGGTAGCTCTCAGCAGGTCATATCCCAGGTGTCCAGCCTCAGGCAGGACCCGCCCAGTGTGGGGATGGATGAAGTAGCCGGGGGGTATGGGCCCTGTGTGTCCACTAGCTGGAAGCATCAAGCAGTTGGGGCCAGGCACCATCATCTTGGTGACGGGATTCACACTGATGTCATCAGCGCCCCGGTGAGGACCAGCAGTGGCTACAGGAAAGCCAACGTCGCCTGCTCAGCCCTGGGCTGGGGGGCAAAGGGGCAGGCTGGGGGCTCCCTTGGCTGGTGACTGGAAGTTGCTGGTGAGAATGCCTCCCAACCCCCCACAGAGGGGGCTACTCCCGGGGGCAGGGGTCTCTTCTTTTGCTGAGTCTGGGGCAGGATTGCACATTTGGGACGTGCCGCTGCGATATTATGTTGCAGAATGGCAAAGACAGGAAGGACCTTAGGAAATGGTGGCGATAACCTCTAGGGTGATAGGATGAAGCTGTGGGACCCCTCCAGGACTCAGCACACCTGTAAGTCCCCAAGGCAAGTCCAGCATTTCTTAAACCTGGCAGTTTGCATTCATCTGCCAAGCTTTTACTTTCAGGAAGTGCCACCCGATCTCTAATTTATGGTAGTTTTATTTGTTTCCTCCTCAGTTCTTCCCATCTCAGAGGCTCCCTCTTCTTTTGTGCAGGGCACTTCATGGGAAGCCCCTTGCGACCTTGGGGGTGCCCACTTTGTTTTGCTCTCCTCCACGCCTCCTCCCCTGCAGGGTGTGTTGGGGGTGGAACTGGAGTTTCTGTAGGGCCTGTCACCTTGAATATGGGGCCAGGTTCCTGGGGGGGCCATGGCTGAGGCCAAGCAGAGCTTACCTGGCTGCAGCAGCTCCGCCCCAGTGCCGGTGCCCAGGACGCCCCAGGCCTTCAGGCGGTGGCCCTCCTGCACCACTGCCTGGGACAGGTGGCCAAGCACAGTGTCCAGCTGGGGAATCTCCCTGCAGGGGCATAGGGTAGGGTACATCAGGGTGCTGGGGCAATGAGGGATGGGAAAAGGATGCTTTGGTATGACCAGCCCTGGGACCCCACGAGCCATGCTCTCTCCTCCCCTGGTTCATACCTCGCTAAGCCTGACCCAGATTGAGCAGATACACACCCTTCTGGGTTCTGCCCCGCCTGAGAGGCCTCCTTTGGCCTGGAGCCTGTTGGTGCCTTCAGCAGCCGCCGAGCCTCCATCAGCGCTGAGCAGAAAGAGGCCCACTGCTCCTGCCTGGCATGGAGGTCTTGGTGAAGGAGCTTCAGCTGGTGACTGAGGCTTGCTGCGTACTCGCCTGCCAGGAGCCCCCTCCGCCTGGCCTCCTCCTCTGCTGCCCTGGCAGCCACTTCAGCAGCCTGGGTCAGAGACAACCTTGCCTGCTTGCCTGCAGGGCCTGCAGCCACCAGGGGGAGCAGACTCGGGACTGGATCCCCAGCTTCCCTTGGGAACGCCGGAGCATCCCGCACAGGCAGAGGGGGAGAGAAATTCCCAGGGATGGTGGTGGGGGCCGTAGCTAACAACCCTGGGGCCAGGGAGATGGAACAGGTGTGAGGGATGCATAGGGAGCGATCCTGGGCCCTAGCGAGGGGAAGGAGTTGCATTTGGGCAGAGACCAGATAGGAAAGTATGAACAAAGCCAGACCTGCTGCTGCTCCCTCTCAGTGCTCCCCAGAAGCTGGTCAGCAGAGGCTGGAGTGCAATGCGTAGCACCCCACAGCAGCCGGAGAGAGCGAGCTTCATTCAGAAGTTTGAGGTAGAGGAGTTTGAGCTGCAAGAGAGGGTGGATTTAGCCTGTTCACTGTTCCCAGAGCCACCCAGCCCTTCACTGCTGTGACTGCAGCACCCCCTGCTGCCAACAGCGGGACAGACTCGGAGAGCCAGCCAAGCCCCCTGAGACATGAGTGAGGGCCAGGCCACGCTGGTCCCAGCAAGTCCCAGCGTGCACATTCTGCTTGGGGAACCCCTGGCCCACTTTGCATGCTTGGTCTTCTAGTGCATTCTCTTTGCATCCAATGCCTGTCACCTACTGGCGTGAATTTGTTCACTCAGTTGGGCTACCAAGGACAGAGGCCTATATTTCATAATATCAGTCCTAAATTTAATCTGAAATGTTCTATCTCCCCTGCCCATATACTTGCCTTTTTTTCTGATTGCTTATCTACAGACTGATGATTTCTTTAGACTCTATGCCCCATAACCATTTCTCCTGGAGATGCATCTATTCCTAGCCCCACTGGTTTCTCCAGCCTTGGGTGGGAGCATTGCCCGGAGCTGCCAGTTACCTCCTCCTTGGTCTGGCTGAGTTTGGTCGTCACTGACAGAGACTGTCTGAGCAGGATCCCAAAGAAGGCTTCTGTGTCGAACCACTCCAGGTCCACCTGCTCGTCAGCCTCCCAGCTCCCACCTGTAGGGGCAGGGGAAGCAGGAGTGTCCTCCTGGATGCAAATATGAGCTTCCCTACAAATCTTCACTGTATCTTCTTCCTACAGATCCTCAACCGTCTAGACACAGCCTTGCTACTTAAAGTGTGGCTCTTGGGTGAGCAGCGCCAGCACCTGTTAGAGGAACTTGTTAGAAATGCAGAATCTCAGGCCTCATCCCAGACCTATTGGCTCGGAAGACCCCCAGGAAATCCATATGCTTATTAAAATTCTAGAAGCACAAACTCATTCCAGTGCTGCTGTCTGAGGACCGTACCCTGAGCAACAAGTGTAGCAGGCGAAACCCTCAGCATGACATACAATGCCTTCTGCAACTTGGTCCTCTGGGTAGTACTGGTTACTGCTTAACTTTGTACATGGGTATATTATTTTTCTTTTGGAAATTTTGCATTTAGTTTTCTCTTTCCCTCTCTATTCTGTGTACTCTGAATGCCTGGCAGAGTCAGACATGCAGTAGCCACTCAATAAATCTTATTGAGCAAGTGAGTGAATGCAGAGGCACTGGGCGATGAGCAGTCTAGGAAGATGAAATAGGAAGCAGGAGCTGGCCGGTCAGATTTAGGGGGTACCTCTGGGATTCTGGCCCAGCCTGTCACTCACCGGGACTTCCTTCAACCTTGGGGATGGCAGAGGCTGAGTGTGATTGGCCTCTCCTCACTGACATCATCCCAGTCCTTGGGGAAGCATAGGCGTCAAGGTTGTATCCTTGCTGGTGTCTCCTGAAGGCGGGATGGGGAGCAGCCTTCCGAGCCCAGCTCAGGCTGTGACACTGAACCTGCGGGGCACATAATGGGGTGGTGGGAAGGAAAGGGGGTCCTGAGGGAGAAGCATCATCCTCTCAGTGACTCTGAAAGGAGGCAGGTCCCAGCTCAGTTGTGGTTAGGGGCACCTCATCTTCTCTTGCTTGGACCGTTCTAACTGCCTTATTTTCTGTAGCTTTCCCCCTGTAATCCGTCTGTGTCCTCCACCCTATTGCTAGAGTAAAAATAAAAGCCTGATCAGGTTTTCTCACTTGCTCAAAATTCTTACCCCCTGCCCAGAGGATAAAGTCCAAACTTGTTAGCAGGCTCTGAGACCATCCACAATTTCGTCTGTCTCCCGGTTCCAGCCTTATCCTTGTCCTTACCCTGAGCTCCAGTGACGGGCGGCACATTTGGTTCCCTGAGCAGGGAGTGTTGTTTCATGGCTATGTGCACAGGCGCATGATTCTCCCTTCCTCATCTCCCAGCGCTTCCCTCCCCTCCCCAAGCTCACCAACCCCCTGGTCCCACAGGGCCCACGTTCTTACACTCTCCTATTTCAAGCCTCATTTAGGGGTCATCTCTTCGCGAAAGTCTGTCCTGACCCCCCCATGGAGCACGGTCAACTTCTGCCTTTGTGTGGCCGGGGCACCCTGGACACACTTTAGCACTGTTGCATAATATAATATTTGCTGACATCTAGTTCTTTCCTGGTCTGTATTCTCCCTACTGAACTTTGAGCCTTGGAGGCCCGAGGCTGCACCTTCCTCACCTCCGCATCTTAGCAACTATTATAATAATGCCTGTCGCAAATAGGGCCTGGAAGACCCATTTGCAGGGGACGGGAGAGGTGGTCCTACAGGGTGGTTAAGTTGTCACTTGTCCAGCTTTCCTCACCAGCAGAAGCAGGCAGAGCCCCAGGAGCAGCACAATCTCCCCCAGGACTCCTGGCCAGTCAGGCCTCTTCAGGGGCCTGGGGATCTTGGCGATGCCGGCTTGGATGAGATATCTGGGAGTCGTGGTGGTGAAGGGCCCTTCCCCAGAGCACTGGCCCCCAGGCGGGAGGGCGCGGAGGTACTGGGTGGAGAGAAATCTGTTCAGTGTTTGTCCCACTGTCTGCCAGAGGCTGGCCAGGGGGCAGAGCGGGAACCCAGGCCTGTCAACACCGAACGCACAGTCCACTGTGCAAACCTGGGAAACTCGTGCGCATCGATGACTCTCCATTTGGGGGAGCTGTCTGCACGTGCCAGGGCTAGGTCAGCACAACCTCTCAGATGTCGTGCTGTCAGGTTGAGATACTCAATGCTGTGTGTGGCACAGACAGCACACCTGGGTCAGTGGTGACATGATGTGCAGGTCACGGGGATAAAACCGTGGGCAGGTGGGCTTGGGATATGGAGGGTGAAAGACAAAGTGGAGGGCTGGGAGGGATGGCCAGAGGTCCTAGGCCATTCCACGCCCCTGTCATCCCTAAATACATATGTGTGTACCCATCCTTCCGATCTTCCCCTCCTTACACATCACATGATGGGCTGCTGTGGAGTGAACCTTGGCATCCCCAGGATCATCTGTTAGGACCATGGGACCCCGACACTTTGATGGGGACCTGCAGGGCATTCCTGCCTTGCAGATCTGTCTGCGGTGGTTATGAGGCAGTGTTTTTTAAAGAGAGGGGAAATGGTGGGATGTCTTAAATGAGGCAAACTGTCACAGACAAACCATCTTCCGATGTCGGTTGCTGCTCAGACGGAAGACATAGACTCCAGGCTGCTGGAACTGCTGCAGAAAGAGGGAGGGGCTTTGCTCACTGCGCTGGGGCTCCTCAGCCAGGGCCCGGAAGCGCCCCCAGTCAAACTGCTCCAGCGTGTTATAGAAGTGGCCCCTGGGGAGAGAGGAAGGAGGGAGTATGTGGCTTCCCCGGGGCGGTGGCTGACGAGAGCATTTCCTCTCTGGGGCCTCCGTGGGAGTGGGAATGGGGCTGTGGCCTCTGGACACTCACAGGTCATATTCGGGGTAATGCTCTTGAGTCACCAGGAAGGCCAGCGTGTCGTTGGTTTGGAGGCAGACTGTGGGGTTTCGGATGCCCAGCTCTGGGGGCAACAGGCTCTGGTGTGTGGAGTTGAAGCCCAGTGACCAGGGAGAGGTCAGATGTCCTTCCCTCGACACTCCTAGTAAGAATCAGAGCATGAAGAAGAGCTGCCACTCTCCTGACGGATTTGTGCTGGGGCCTGGGAAGGACAAGGGGAGGATAGGAGGGGCAACGGGTGAGCTGTGGTGCTCACCTGGATCCTGGTCTGGGCCCCCGGGGTCCCCGAGTGAGTGCAGTAGCTCACGACCTGGTCTGGTCAGTCCCAGGAAGCCAAGCCCTAGAACAAGACCGGGCTCTCCCTGACGCTGCAGGGACTGGGGCGAGAGTTTTTGCTAGTGCATGGATTCAAGCAGAAGCTGTCCAGCCCTGATTTGCACATGGTAGGTTCAACTTTCTGAAAAATCGAGGGGTCAGAATTCACATGCACTTCTCAGGGAGCCCTCCTTGGGGGAGATGTTGCCCCATCACCCCCGGCTTTTGCTCTTGGGGCAAAGCATACGCCATGGTAAGGGCAATGCTTGCACGCATGTGGTCCCGAGCTGCAAGCCTGCCGGTGGCCTCCCTCTGTCCAGCTCTCTCACCATCCATCCTGACCACAAACAGAGGGACAGACTCCTGCCCTTGGCGCAGGTTGCAGGGGTGGCCCACAGCACGTGGTGAGGAAGGCCGGTCCAGAAGGTAAAAATCCTGGACATGAGGAGAGCCAGGGTCAGGTGGCTGAAGACACAGAGTCACAAACTCGTCCAGCAGAGACGTGGGGAGAGCACGGGGCCTTCCCTGAGCTGAGTGTCCTGAGGGATGGAGGGGAGGTGGCGGTGGGACTAGTTCTCAAAACTCCACGGGGCAGTGGCAACCTGGGGTCATGACCTCTTGGACAGTTTCCCTCCTCTTTATTGAACACTATGACCTCTGCTTCTTCAAGGAGTTTTATAAGATGAAATTAAATCAACAACGGCTCCTTCTCTGGTTTTGGAACCTCTGATGTACGAGAGGTTCTGCCAATAATATGGGTCAGTGAGCAGTGGCCCCTGGCCCCTATGCACCAGCATGTCCTATATGCACCTTCTTTGGAGGCAGAAGTCACAGGCCCTGGCTCATCTCGGGGTTGAACCTCAGGGCACTGTACCTGGCTCTCAGTGCCTTCGGTGATGGAAATCTGTGGGATGCCCCCAGGACAGCTGAGCTTCAGGACCTGTCTCTGTTCCTCTGGGCACAGAGGGCCGCACATTCCACTTGTGTGTTGTCCCCAGCACAGGCAGAGCCCCAGGCCTCGGTCGTAGCCACGGGCATCTCCCGGTATGGCACACACCTGCGCAAAGACTCAGATTTCTTGGGGATACCTCCCTGGTGGAGGTTCGCCCTAATTCTCTCCAGCTACTTCTGGGAACTGCTTCAGAGTGCAGAATTCCAGCCTCTGTATCTCCAGGGAGGGGCCCGTGGAATGAGCGCAGCGGCTGGGAGGTTGGGCTTTGGAGGGGCAGAAGGGCAAAGGTGTGGCTTGTGGGCAGCCTCCTACCTCATGGGCACAGTGGTCATTCCACTGCCCCTTGGTCAAACATAGCCCCTCCTGGTTCCGGGTGGCTCCATCCTTGCAGCTCTTGTGTTCCTGCTGGACACAGCCCATTGGCTCCCCAGCGTCTCGGTAGCCTGGGAGGCAGGGGCACCGGCTGTCACTGGGCTGGGGTGCGGAGGGGAGGCAGGAATGTTGTTTCGGGTTGGCTGGTTAACACTTGGTTGTGGTGAACCACACATAACCCTTTCCCGTGACCTTCTCTGAGATGGGCCAAAAGATGAGGGCTGGGAGAAGGGGGCAAGGAACAGGGCTGGGAGGGGTGAGGTCAGAGGGGAAGGCTATGGCACGCGCTGGTAAGGTCCAGCCAGGGCTATCATTTCAGTCAAGAAGAACTGAGAATTTCAGTAAAGGAAGAATTCACATGCACATGTTTTGGCCTACAGAGAAAGTACGAGTTGGAAGGGCTTGGGCCAGGGTGTGTTTTGGGAGTGATCCTGGCAGAGAACAACATAAAGTTTGCCTTTTCTTTGAGAAGATAGATTTAGCAAATAAAAGCACAGGGTGCCCAGTTAAATTTGCATTTCAGATGCACAATGAATACTTTTTTAAAATTAATTGTATAAGTATGTTCTGTGCAATACTAAAACAATTTATCTGTTATTTATCTGAAATTCAAGTTTTACCGGATGCCCTGTGTTTTATCTGGCAACCCTAACCCCAAGTCACTTGGAAACCTGAGCCAACCCTGGTCAGGTTATACTTGAGCTGAACTTGACTTGGGACCAGGACAGTCCTGGAAATGCAGCCTGCTCTTGGGCCCCACTGCCAGAGGACATACCTGGAACACTCGCCCAGGTCCCCGGCAGACACACGTGTTCTTGCCCTCCTCCGGCTGGGTGGCCTCCGAGCCACAGGGGAAACAGGCTGTTTGGCCGGGCCAGGAGTTGAAGAATCCCGGAGGGCAGAGCTGGCAGAAGGGGGTGTTGTGCGGACCCGCTTCAGAGAGGAAAGTTCCAGGGGGACAGGGAGCAGGTGGTGAGCTGGGGCAGAGCCCACCTGTGGGGGACAGCCATGCAGTAATTAGGGCTAAGACTTAGCTTCCAGGAGCTGTGGGTCCCCTGTGATCACTCAGGGGCCCACGTGGACCCCCGACTACTCTCTTACGATGAGGGGTCTTCTGACCCCTAGCCCAGCCCAGGTGTCTCATAAAGCTGGCATCACCCTTCAGAGCTATTTGTCTGTCCCTACTCCCCAACTTTACCCTCAAATCCTTTGGTGCAAATTCAGCCCCAACCCCTACCCTCTGGGCATCTTGGTGGGTCCAGTTCTTCTTTTGCACAAGGCGTCCCGTCCCCGCAGTCCTGAGGATTCTCCCTGCTCAGGCATGTGGTGCTCTGGATGGCAAAGTAGAAGAGAGCTGCGGAGGTCCATGTCCCTGGGATGCCCCCAAAAGGGAGAACTCTCCCCTTGTGGGTGGGGGCAACAGCGGCAGGGAGAGAGGTAGACATTGAGGTGGGCGGAGGACAGACTCTAAGGAAGACCCTGGGATTCAGATGGAGAGACAGAGGGGAGCACAAGACAGAGGCACAGTGCCAGCAACAGTAGGAGAGGACAAGATAAGGGTGGCTGAATAGGAGAGGCACCGAGAGATCTGGACCAAGGATGTGAATGCAGAGAGAAATGCCCGGGAAGGACAGCCTCTGCCAGTCACAGGAGCTCCAGGAAGCACTTCCTGAATATTTCATGAAGATGAAATCTGAGATCCTTTGAGCAGCTTTGGCCCAGACAACTTAAGTGTTTCCACTCTCTTTTTCCTATTTCCACACTCCTTTTCCTTCGTAGAGAAGCCGGTGGGGTGTGTGTGTGTGCACGTGTGTATGCGTGTGCATACGCAGAATTGGGTTTAGTGAGGGCAAGGGACATCCCAGCTCCCTCCTTCTGCAAGGAAAAGCCAGTCAAACTACTTTAAATATCCTCTATGTGCAAGACCCTGCAGGAGAGACGCTAAGGGAATAACACAGGAGGCTTCTGCCTTTGGTGCATGTACAGCCAAGTTTCAGAGACCCGTATGATGTTAGCGTTGGAGAGGACCTTAGAGGTCATTTGGGTCTCTCCTCCTAGTTTACAGAGGAGAAGACTGGGGCACAGAGAGACTGAAAATTTTAACAAATTCGCAAAACCAGCCAAGTGCTCTTAAACAATATGTGTACACAAAATAACTGGAAACTGTAGAGCAGCCAGTAAGCCCCAGGAAGGACCACGTGACATGATTCATAAAACATTCAGCAGGTGGAGAGAAAGGCCCATTCCTGGCCTTTTCATCAATTACCTTTTGAAATGGATAATCATTTCACTTATTGCTTGTAAGTAGGTGATAATAAATAATACTACCCTGCTTTCTTTATAGCTGTTGTGGAAATCAGTCAAGCTAACAGGCAAGGCAGTGCCCGGAAAGCCATAAAGTGGTAGCAGAAGGTCAGTGCTGATGGGTGAGTTGTGGCTGCAAAGAAGGGGCCTGAGGCTCTGGGACTTTCAAGGCCACCCAACTTGTAAGTAAGTCCAACTCACAACACATAAAAGGGACTTCTGACTCCAACTTTGAATAGTACCGACATGGGAGAGCCTTAAGATAACTTACTATGTTACTTTGTAATCAGGCCTCAGTTTTGAAAATAAGAAGTGGTGTATCTGATTTGATTGGTTCACCAACTTTTCCTCTGAATGCCTTATGACTTGGTTGCTTCTAAAAAGAGACCCACCTACCCAGGACAAGGTGTCCCCCTACTGAGGACACTTTATTCACTCACTCACTCATTCATTCAGCCTGTAGATATTTATTGTGCACTTGCTATGTACCAGGCTCTCTTCTGGGGCTGGCGATAGCTAAAAGAATGTGCTGCAAGCTCAGAGGATTGTTGGCTACCGTTTGTAAAGCTGGGGCTGGAAGGAGAATTACTGGGGTGTGGAAGTACAGGCTCCTTGTAGAGACATATTTGAAGGGGAAGAAATTAAGATCCCCAGGAACCCATATTCTGAAAAAAACATAGTATCCTATAGAAATACAAGGCCAGCCACATATGTAATTTAAAATCTTCTTGTAGGCATATTAAAAAAAGTAAAAAAGAATAGGTGAAATTAACATTAGTAAAATATTTTATTTAACCCAATGTGTCTAAAATATTGCTTTAACATGTGATCAATATGACAACTAATAATGTGATGTTTTACATTATTTTTTTGTACTAAGTCTTTGAAATCCAGGGGCCATTTAACGAAGCACATCTGCACTTGGACTAGCCCCATTTCAAGTGCTCAATAGCCACAGGTGGCGAGTGGTCACCCTCTTGTTCAGCACAGGCTGACTTTCTCCCTGCCCCGCCCTGCACATCGTTTCAGTCACCTGCTTTGTCTTTGTCCTTCCAGAAGGTGGCACTGTGAGCTTGCAGGAAGTGATGAGGGTGTTGGGAGTCCAATGGAAGAAGAGGAAATGCTGTTGCAGGGGGAGGACATATGCGTGTGCACATGTGTGCGTGTGTGCATATGTGTGTGTAGATTAGTATCATCTTAATTATCTTGATGGAAAGTAAGGGTAATATCTGTGTAATATTTTACAACAACTGTAAAACTTTACTGTGCATGCCAATCACCTAGGGAATCATTTTAAGACAAAGATTCTGGTTCAATACCATAGGTGATCTGGGATGGGGCCCAAGACTCCACATTTCTAACAAGCTTGAGATAAAGCCGAGATCATCGAACCATGCTTTAAGTAGCAAAGTTTTGCAAGGAATTTTGATATGCACAACATAACTCTTTGATATGACAAGCTTGTAAGATGGATGCCGCAAGGAACTCTATTTCATCATGTGAGAAATAGAGGCACAAAGAGGTTCAATCATGTGCCCAAGATCATTTCATTAATAGGAGCTGAGGGCAGGGGCAGAACCCAGGTATTGTGGCCCCCAAGCCTGTTTTTTCCATATCAATGACATAAATTTTCCAGGTGGCAGAAGGTGAGTTCATCTTATCAACCTTCCTCCCTCTGTGAGAAAACAGGCGAGCTTCCTCCTGCCCTGATCTTACGGGAAATTCTGTAACCTTGTGGTCTCTCTCCACCCTGTGTCCATTATAATCATGGCTGGTAGTTGTCACATTCCCCTTCCTTCTATGAAATCAATCTCCACGGTAACTTTTTACCTGGTGAGTGCCCACAGTGAGGCTGTACTTGGCTGGTAAGAGGGCCCCGGGGGGCCTAAATAGGATTGGATTTCTTCAGTGGGTGGAGACTATCAGAGCTGGAAGGGACCCTAGGGGCTAATACCCTTCAACTATTTTATTTCACAGATTCGGAAACTGAGGTCCAGAGAGAGGAAGTGACTTGTCCTGGGTCAACACTAGACAAGACGGAAAATTCCCCTGAGGTCACATCACTGGGTAGGATTTCTAGGAATAGCACACTGGAAAAGATTACAATAAAGTTCAGGTTGCTCCTCAGATCAAAGTTTAAATAAAAATCTGACCCTAATTGTTCTTGGCTTTGAGATGTCTGGCCTCAGAGTCTTTAGCCATTGGGGGATATTTTGGGCCTAGAAAGTGGCAAAATATTTAATTTTGCTTTCCCCAGGCTCAGTCCCGCGGGAATTCAAAGGAAGCACAAGACATGACTAGACTCTGCCCTCGTTGGGCCATCTCTATGACAAACGAGGGCACAGTAAAAGATGTAGAACTGAGGGCTGAGTTGAGTGATCACCCACATGTGCTGAAAGGGCTCAGAGAGTCCCTGGACCTCGTTGGCGTGATAAACAGCAGGAGCGGCATGTGCAGTGCTGAAGCTCTCGCTGTGAAAGCGGCCACAGGCAGGTGATGCCCCTGGTCTTCCCTCCTGTGCGAACTCACAGACTGCATTAGCTGCTGGGGTCAGAGGTGGGAGCTTATTTGTTCCAACCCCTCATTTTAAAGATGAGGAAACTGGGGCTCAGAGAAGTTTAGGGATTTTCACAAGGTCACAGAGCTGGTTGATGGCGGAATGAGGGCAAGACCGCATCAGTGCTTTCCCCATGATGCTGAGCCACGATTGTAGCCTTAGCCTTTCCTTTGAGTTCTGGGTCTCTCCTCTTTTTCACCATTTCTTCTTTCCCCTCACCAATATTTCTTTTTTTTTGTCTCCCAAGGCTTATATCTAAATGTTCTATTTGACAGAGAAGATGATGGCTTTCAGAGGCAAACTTCTTGGTTGACAGTTGGCTGGGATGGAGCTCGACCACCCCAAGAATGAGGCTTCAGATGCTGCGCTCTCCTGTCTTTTTCTCTAGCAGCTTCAACCTCTCCCTTTACACTGCTCCCTTCTCTGTTGCCTTTCCTCCAGTTTTGAAGAAAATCTTGTCTGATTCCATTACTCTTTTGTTTCCCTTCTCTTTCTCTCCCTTCGCCCTATCTTCTCTGTCTTCATTCTCCTCTCTCTCCCTCTCTCTTTCACACACACACATTCATGTCCCTCGGTTGTAGAGGTCTGAGTTAATCATACCCAATTCATGGCACATTTTCATTCCTGGTGTGGGCAGGAATCCTCTCCTATTTTACTCACTTATTTTTCCCCATTTATTCTCATTTCTACCTCCCCATAGACCAGTGGTCGCCAGCCTTTTTGGGACCAGGGACCAGTTTCATGGAAGACGATTTTTCCACGGGCTGGGCTGGGGAGGATGGTTTCAGGATGATTCAAGGGCATTACATTTATCGTGCAGTCAAACCTCTCTGCTGATGATAATCTGCATTTGCAGCCGCTCCCCAGCACTAGCATCACCGCCTCAGCTCCGCCTCAGATCATCTTCAGGCATTAGATTCTTAAAAGGAGTGTGCAACCTAGATCCCTCACATTCACAGTTGGTAGTAGCTTACAGTAGGGTTTGTGCTCCTATGAGAATCTAATACTGCCGCTGATCTGACAGGAGGTGGAGCTCAGACAGTGATGTGAGCGATGGGGAGTGGCTGTAAATACAGATGAAGCTTTGCTGGCTTGCCTGCTGCTTACCTCCTGCTGTGTGGTCCGGTTGCTGACAGGTCCTAGACTGGTACCAGTCTGCAGCTTTAGACTACAGCAATAGACAATCATTCTAATAAACTGAATGTGTTTGTGTGTTCTTGCAAAATGGGAATTGTTGAAGCACATGTCCTTTTTAAATGTATGTAGAGGTTGTTGCGCTATTTCATCCTGCTTTGTTATTCCCTCTCAGGACTGTTTTAAAGTCTCACTCATGTTGCTAAGTGTTCCTCTAGTTTGAGGCTTCTAACTGAGGCACAGTGCTTCATCCTTTTTGCTCATACCTAACAACCGATAGCTGGTCTGATTTGTTGCTCCCAGGTCCTCTTCCTGTCTCCCCCAGCTCCCTGACTTCCACATTCACTATCTCTCCAAACTGCCCTCTCCCAGGGCCCCGGCAGTGCCCTCTGGCTGCCATTTTCGGTTCTGATTTTATTGACTTTTCATTGGTCTTACAGGTGCGGAACTTCTTAACTTCCATGATTCCAAAGTCCCCTCAATCTCTTATATTTTTCCCTCTGTTTTTAGTTATTTAAGTTTTTCTTAAAGCATGCCGATATAGTTTTTAATAAGCCTTATTTTTTTAAGAACTGTTTTAGATTTGCAGAAAAATTGCAAAGATTGTACAGAGTCCTCATATACCCCGCACCCAGTTTCTCCTATTATTAATTTCTAACATTAGTATGATACAGTTGTTATAATCAATGGACCAACACGTTGTTATTAAGTCCATACTTGCTCAGATTTCCTTAATTTTTACCTACTGCCTTTTTCTGTCCAGGATCATACATTATGTTCAGTCATTATGTCTTCTTTGGTTCCTCTTGGTTGTGACAGTTTCTCAGAATTTTCTTGTTTTCAATGGTCTTGACAGCTTTGAGATGTACTGGTCAGACATTTTGTAGAATGTTTCTCAATTTAGACTTATCTGATGTTTCTTTAATGACTGGATTGGAGTGATGGGTGTCTGAGAGGAAGACCACAGTGAGAAAGTGACATTTTCATCACACTGTAGCAAGGGTACATATTGTCCACATGACGCGTCACTGTTGGAACTGACCTTGTTCACCTGGCTGAGGTGGTGTTTGTTAGGTTTCCTCCACTGTAGAGTTACTCTTTTATTTCCCCCCCTTTCCGTACTGTACTCATTGAAAGAAAGTCGCTATATTTAGCCCACACTTATGGAGTTGTGCTCCAGCTTCCTGAGAGTGGAATATCTATGTAAATTGTTTGGAATTTTGAATGTGAGATTTGTTTCTTCTTATTATTTAATCAATCTTTTTTTATCAATATGGACTTATGTATATTTGTTTTATATTTTGGGTTGAAAGGTTTTGTTTTGTTTTGTTTTGCTGAAAATGATCCCTCATTGATTGGCCAATGAGAACTCTTTGAGTTGGCTACTGGGTCTTTTTGATAGACCTCATGATTGTGGGTTTCTTTTTTTTTGAGTACTTCCCTACTTTTTTGGTACTATGGGTTGCCCCAGGCTCATCTTGCATATTCCTGTTCTGGTCCTAGAGTCAGTCAGTCATTTCCCCAAGGAGTTCTGGCTCCTTTTTATTGGAGAATGGTATTAGAGACCAAGATCTGGGTGCAGGGTGTGCTCCGGTCTCTTACATTGCAACTCACTTTCCCTTCCCCTTCTGTTAACGCTCCTGTCCCCTGCTCATTGATCAAGGTGTTTCCCAAGAAGTAATCACACATTCAAGTCAATAACGAAGAGTCCTGGCTTTGCACAAGAACTTTGGGGATCAAAAGTGAGGCACAGTCACAGAGTGTACAGTCAAGTGAGGAAGACGGATGCACGTAACCAGCCCAACTACAGACACGGATGGAAAATCCATCTTGAGGAATTCCTAAGGAACTAGTGGCTAAGACTGTGGAATTGGGGACGTCTCTGAGCTGGGAGTAGGAAGAAGAAATGTACATTCTCTGTAGTCTGTTCCCAAACTCATAAATTCTCCCTTGATGGTCGCACCCTTCGGGGGACCCTCTCTGGAAGGAGCGGCCACTGCCACTGCTGAGGCTGCTTCCCGGTCCCCCGACAATGCCTCTTTCCTTCTGGTGTGCACACGAGCAGACTGTATTCTTTCCCCAACTGCCCAGAGTCCTGAGAATACATGTGGCAATATTTTATTTCTTAAGTTAGATTGTGAGTACATGGGAGTTTGTTATCATAGTCTTCATTCCTTTTTGTATGGCTTACATGTTTCATAATAAAATTTGAAATGTATTTATGAAAAAAATAAAAAAGACCGCTGCCTGTGGTTCTGGCCCATGTGACCCTGCACCCTCGCTCCGAGAGCAGGGACTGCTCTGCCAGATGCCTGCCACTCCCAGCCTAGAGCCAGGGGAAGTGCAGCTGGTTTGGGCCAGATGGGTCTGCCGGAGCCTGTCTGACCAGGTGTGGCTTAGGTGTTGATGTGACTCAGTGCCTATGTGGTGTGGCAGAGAGAAACCTACTCTCAGCCTTTGGGCTCAGGAAACTCTGGCCCTGGACTAGTTATAGGGGCTGGTGGCTCCTGAGAAGACCTTTGTAGCCGGTGTGACAGATTAAAGATGTCTGAAAACTCCTTCCTTTTGAATCTGCATGACCAAAACCAAGGAAACCCCCGTTCTCTTTGTCCCCCTCATCTCCGTGACCTACCTCTGACTCTGGAGACCCAAAGAGCAGCAGCACAGTGTCATTCCTTCCCTACAGCAAGGACTGGCTGCTGGAGCCTTTCTGTAGGGCTGGGATGGGACTTCCAGTCTGGGCATTAACCCCTCTATCTTGTGGCAGCATCTTTGCCTCTGTACTGACCTGACTCAAGTTTTCTTATAGCCCATCTAAAGCCATCTGAACAAAAACCTGAAAAGGGCAGATCTGGATCTGGCAGCACCGAGAAAAACCAAAGGTCCTGCCAGCAGCCACAGCAGGTGAGAGGCAGACCCAGCAGGGGTCAGCTGGGGACGCTGCCCAGGCCAGGGGTAGGGTGTTGGTTTCAGTCTCCAAGGAAAGAATGAGAGTGATGCCAGCCCCTAGTGCATGCTGGCTGGCAACTGTGATGTTCTATTTGCAGGGTTAGGTTATTTAGCCTTTGGACTCAGGAAACTCTGATCCTGGACTAGTTATAGGGACTTCCGAGAAGACCTTTGTAGCCGGTGTGACAGATTAAAGATGTCTGAAAGCTCCTTCCTTTTGAATCTGCATGACCAATACAATGTAGCAGAAGTGAGATTCTGGCATCTCTGAGCCTAGGTCACTTGGAACCTTGCAGCCTCTGCACAATTCTTTTGGAACACTCTCTCAGGAGCCTTTATCTGCTATGGAAGGATTCCTGTTCTCCTGAGACTACCATGCGGGTCAGGCCATTTGCAGGCCCTTTGGTCAACGCTCCCAGCTGAGCCAAGCCTTCTGGCCACACTCACTGAGACATAAGCCATGAAAGCAAAACCATCTTGGACCCCAGATAAGTCCATCTGCCTGCTGAATACCAGAGTAACCCCAGTTGATGCCACGTAGAGCAGAAGAGTTGGCCAGCTGAGCCCCGAACAGATTTGTGAACTACAGCATTGTGAGATGTAATAAAATGACTGCTGTCTTATGCTGCTAGGTTTTGAGATTGTTTGTTAACAAAAACAAATAACTGAGACAGCCAGGGCACCCCCATTCAGGCCACCAGTCTAATTACTAACTTCCAAATCCTGCATCGATATAAGAAACAGGGGACCATGGCTTATTCTCAAAACAACCTGGAGGAGGGTCTGGCTAAAGGGTTCTAGCAGCCCCTGGGCTGGCACCTTCTCCCTGCTCCACCCGCCGCTGTGCTGGGCTCTCTTTAAAGAGCCCTGTGGGGTGTCCAGATGAGCTCACACAAACAGTGCAGGTGCAGGCCTGGCCCGTAAACCACAACGCAGGGCCTGTGCGGCCACAATGAGCCAGGCAAAGCCTCTAGAAGGGGATAAAGGGCGATTATTTGTTTAGCATCATTAGCAAGAGTCCCAGAACCCGTGAAAAAGCAAAGCAAAAACTTTTGTATTAAGGAGATTAAACCTTAAACTCAGCTGAGAAGGCTCTGCTGTATTGAGTGGCTTTGTCGTGCCTGGCATTGTGTGATTATATGCAAATCACTGGGAGGCCGTGCTGGGTCCTGACCACAGAGGCTTAGCTGCCTGGCTGGTGGGCGTGTGGGAGAGGGGGCAGCCCACGTGCTGGTCAGGCAGCACCCAGCACCCGGCCTGGGGAAGTCTGCTTGTCCTCAAGCTTAGGGAATTAGGGATTTGAAAATATGTTTAACATGTTGACCACAGGTTTCTAACGGGTGGATAGGAGTGTAGGGACAGAGGTGCCACCGGGAAAGTATAAGTGAAAGTCCAGTGCAATGTCCAGTTAGGACAAGGGAGGTTCTCATATCCAGGGTCCCTCTGACCATGTCACCTGGGTTGTTCTCTAGGGTAATGTATGTGGTTACCAAGGAGATGGGGACATGTTTTGGTTTTCTTGTTTTCTCTCCCCCAAAACCCTGGCCAGGATCCCTAGTGGCCAATCAGAAGAAGGACTTGGGGGGATTATTCTGGATTTATTGATTGAGAAAATGTTTAATGTTTACTCTTGGCAAGGTACAGTGCTAGGTGCTGGGGGAAAGGGGTGGTGGGTGGTAGGTGAGAACAGAGATGAATAAAATATCTCTGTTGTTCAGGAGTTTACAGATAAGGTATTTACCCAGGTAACTAAAATACCTGGCAACATTTGGTAAGTGCTGGGGGAAAGGGCCCATGAGAGTGCTTGGCTTCTGACAGGTGCTAACTGAAGGGGCTGGAGATGGTTTCACAGAGGAAGAAACGTCAGAGCCAGGCCTTGAAGGTCTCCAGGCCAAGCCAGGCAAGGCGTGGGGGTCTGTGTGAGCCCAACAAATACGGCTGGAGAGTGTATCGGGTGGGCTGGCCACGTGCCCTGGATCACATTGGGTCTCAGGGACTGGGGAAGGCAGATTCTGCATATTGGGGCCCAAGGTCTCTTTGTGTGCTAGAATTTGGCCTGCACAAATTGAAGTCAGAGGTCTAACCTACAGATGTTAGGTCTACGGACTCCAGGACTTGGTGTCATCACCTGCAGAACTGCAGAACTTCTGTATGGGTGATACCAGAGACTGCCGTGTCCTGCCCGTTGATAAGTCTGTGGGTGCCCTGGCATCCTCCCTTCCCCACTTCCCCTGAGCGGCACCCTCAGCCGCTTCTATGCCCTTGATAACAGGGTCAGCCTGGATGTCTCCAAGGTCCTGCTTCCAGCTGGGCACAAAATGTTGTGCAGCAAGATCAGGAGTCACGGTGGTCGGTCCCTCTCCTGGGGGGCCATGCACCCTGGGGTGCTGCCGGCCTGAGCTGAGCATGAGGGTGGAGTGAGCTTGACCCTCGGCCTATAAGGCACATTGCTGATGGAGATGGCCAAAGACATGACCAGGGCTGAAAAGAAAACCCAGGAAGGCTGAGTAGCCA